GTGTGTGCATGGATTGATAGGTGGTGGATGGTGGATGAATGGATGGACTGATGGATGGTGGATGGTGGGTGTGTGAATGGATTGATGGATGGTGGGTGGTGGATGAATGGATGGACTGATGGAAACTGGATGGTGGATGAATGGATGGGGGTGAAGTAGTGCAATTACATTGCCCACTGATAATTAATATTATTTTGAGGAGTTTGACAGAAATTGGAACTCTGCCCCAAATGAGATTTGGGGATTATCTATGGACTCTGTTTCTTTTCCCAAATCAGGGAAGTGGGAACCCGCAAGAGTCTTGGCATGTCTATGAGCAACATCCCCATCCCCACTGAAAATCTGAAGGAGATTTCAGAAATGGAAAACATGTGAGTTGAAGTCCCCTTAGCTGGAGGTCCGGGCGTGCACACAGCAGAGGCCCCAGCGAGTGCGGGAAGAGTGACCAGGAGCAGATTCCTCCCAAATGCAGGGGGCCCATTCCAAGCAGGCTCTCTGCTTCAAGAAGGGCCTTTGGGCAGGGCAGTCTGTGGCAGGGCTGAATGGGGCTCACAGAGGCTGGACGAGGTGGTGGCATGAGGAGGCATGCACAAATCACAGAGGCTGAGCAGCATGAGGAGGCATGCACAAGTCAGGAGAGCAACATACACTTACGGCGTTATCCCCCAGGATGTCCAGCTTCTTCATCAGCTCTGCCACCAGGATGTCCTAGGAGGCAAGAGAGGGTAGGTGAGTGGCAGCTGGGTAGGCTAGCTGGTGTGGAGCGGGAGGGGCAGGGCTTTACCGTCACGCCTTCCGCCTCGCAGTACACCTGGAGAGGGCTCTTCCCATCCACGAAGGGCGTGTGGTGGAAGTTGATGGCGGGCGACTTCCTCTCCCTCTCCTAAGACAGAGAGCAGAAGGCTGAGCATGGTGGCCACTTTCTCCCTGTCTCTTTCCTCCAAGGAGTCTATGCTGGGGCTCAGGGACCAGTCCAGCCCACCCAGGGAATCTAGTGCTTCTGCCCACCCAGCCCCAGCAGAGGCCCGGGTGGTGGACACCTTGGTGGATGTGCCCAAAAGCCACCCTGGTGTGTTTGCGACCTCCAGATAGGTGGGTGAAACACTGGTTCCATCAAGCCCCTGGCCATGTGGCCCTGGTAAGGTCCACCCCAGAGCCACTTGCCCACCCATTGGTGAACCCAGGGGCTGTCGGGAGGCTCAGGGAGAGGCTGCAGGTGAACAGTCTCCACCACGCCCAATAGAGTGAGCCCTGGAGAACACGGGCTTGTGGTGCTGCCCCTTCACAGGCTGGACCACAGGCAGGAGGCCACAGGGACGAGCATCCACATGGAGTGGCCACACAGCCCTCCTGCCTCCAGTGAGGGGGTGGGAGGGCTCTGAGCGGGGGATTCACCTGGTCTCTGGGTAGGGTACTGCCCACTAGAGAGAGAGCCTGCTTGGACCACTTCCAGGTGAGCCACAGTGCCCAGACCCTGGCAGTGCAAGGTGAGCATGTGACATGGCCATCATGCCCATCCTGCCCTTCCCCATGGATCCTGGCTCCTCTTCCCTCTGCAGGGCATTGGAGCACATGGGGACGGCAGAATGAAGGAAGGTGCCTGGTCACTGAGGGGCATCCTCTGCCTCCACTCACAGGCTTCTTTGAGCAAGAGGTAAATAAACGTCTGCTGGGCCAATGGCTGGGGACTGGGCATTATCCCTACTTCTAGTCACCCCTGCAGCAGCCTTGGCCACAGTGATGAGTGTGGGGCCCCAGGTGTGGCCCAGTCGCTGTCCTCAGGTTTGCTCTGCTCGGTCTCCTCCTGGCACTGACCTCAGCACTCACACCCAGGTTATTGTCACTACCTTGCTGGTAGATGGGCCGTTTACTGCCACCTGCCCCTGCCTCTCCACCCTGGCCTTGGGTTCCTGTTCGAAGGCCCAGGACAGGAGCCTGCCTGGAGCCCTGCGGCCACGCGGCGCCAGCGGGCGGCCCACCTCGAGCTCCAGGATCCGGAACTCCAGCAGCTCGTTCTGGTCCTTGGCGTCCTGGACCTCGTGCTTCAGCCGGGCTTCCTCGGTCTCCATCTGTTTTATCTGAAAAACAGAAGAGGCGCCAGGTGAGAAGGGTCCAGTCTCTCCCACTGGAGGGCCAGGAGGTCAGCTGCCCGGCTGTGATACAGAAGGCAGAGGCGCCGGGGGCACGGCAGGCCTCTGGTCTGCGCACACCGGGAGCAGGCATGTGGCCGGGCAGAAGCCAAGGCTGCGCCTGGCTGTGTGCCCCTCTTCTGGTCCATTTTAATCATTTTAATGAAGCCCGAGTCCAGGTGGGGAGGGATGGCGGTGTTTTTGCAGCCAACATCATCAGCCAGGGGCCAAGAGCGCCCACCCTGGGGCCACTCCAGGGGCCACCCTGGTGAAGCTGGAGGCACCAGCCCTGGCCTGGCTGTGGGCTCTCAAAGGGGCCATTTCCGAGGACGGTGCAGGCTTCGCCACAGCGTTGTGGGGAGCAGAGCTCCCGGCCCCCTGAAGCTTCCCTCTGGGGTGGCGTGTGGCTCCCAGGGGCAGCCTTCACACAGCCTCTGGCCACCCCCATCCGCAACCCGTCAGGGAAGCAGGACGCCGCCTCGGGCTCCACCAGGCCAGGAGAACAGGCCACGCTCCTCCACCCAGGGGCGAGGGCTCAACGGGGCCCCAGGCTCCCATGGCTCCCAAAGGGTGCCCTTCCAGGGACCTCCACGGGCAGCACGGGGTAGGGGTGGCAGGAGGTGAGAGAGTGCTCTCGCACACCCCCACTCCCACACACACGCACCAGGGTGTCCCGCGCGCGTGTCCAGGGGCCGCGCGTACCTTCTCCACAAGCTCTTGATTTCTCCGATACAGCGCTTGCTTCTCTTCAATCCATTTCATGTCCTTGAGAAGGGACGAAAAGGAAGACATGTGTACACCGCAGGAGGACACTGAGAAGCCACATTCCCGTCCCAATGGCAGGACAAGAATGTGGCCCCAGATGACAGTGTACTACTCTCAGGGAATGAAAACCTGTGGCCCTGGACAGAGGTAGCTCCGCTCAGGAGGGTCTGGAAGGCACTGCCTGCCACACATAGGCAGCACCCCAGGCCCGGGTCCCCAGGCCAGGCGCCCAGGGGCCACTGTGCCACACAGGACATCCAGGGAATCCCAACACAGGGTCAGTGAGGGTAGACTAGACAGGAGAGGCGGGGTCTCAGGCCGGCAGGAGGACAGTCTGCTCAGGGAGGAGTGTGTCCCCTCACACCAGGGACACCTGGGCAGATGGCAGCCTTTGCAGTCTGTCAAAGGACATGCATGGGTGCTTCCTGGGCCTGCTGTGAGAAATCCAGTGCGCCCAGCACACCCTCCCCACTGGGCGCCCTCACGCCTGCCCCCACCAGCAGCACGTCTAAGTCTAAGGTGACGTGTCGGGAGGAGCGCAGGCTGCGCGGACACTGGCTCCCCGGGGTTCTGAGCACCACCTGGGGAGGTGTGGTCACGCCTGGAGACCCCGTGTGCAGAGCGGGGGGCACCATTCTAGCTCCCAGGCCTCCTGGCCACGCCCTCGGCATGACATGGAGCCTTAGAAATGGGCCCCATGGTGTCTGCACCAGGGCCACCCTTTGGTCTGCGAGGGATGCACATGGGCAATTTGAGTGCCCTGGCCACAGGCCTGGGTGCGGTGGCCTGGGGTGGGTGGCGGTCAGTCCGTGGGTGGCAAACAGAGGCACGTGCTGCAGTGCTGGACTCCCGGACACTGGCTGCACGGCCCCTGCTCATGTGGTCCTCTGGTATGTCCAGCTACAGTTATTGTGCCAAGGACCGAGGACCTTGTGGGCATCTCCGGGCAGGTGGCGGGAGCAGGGAAGCAATCCCAGCTCACAGTGCTCCTGCAGGCCCCTCCTCTGGGAGTCCCCAGCAAGGGCAGAGACGGCCAGCCAGGAGCACGTGGGGGCTCACCTGGCCCTGCTCGGCCAGCGCCTTCTCCAGGTCCTCCACCCGGGCCTGCGCTCGCTGCATGTCTGCTTGGAGCTGCTCACGAGTCTGTAGAACGGGAGGAGAGACACATCAGACTTTCTCTAACGCCCAGGACAGGCAAATGGCTGGCGGGATGCAGGTCAGAGGACTCTGCCTCCGGAGAGGCTACCCGAGTGTGGCTGTCCCCTCCCTTGAGGCGGTATCCAAGAAAGGAGGGGCTGTGAGGCCATGTGAGACACATGCTGTTCCGTGACCGACTGGGAGCACATGAGGCAAGGCCCTCGCTCCCGGACAGGATGGCCCAGACTGTCGGTGCTGGGTGCTGGCCAGGGTTTCAGCCTCCCCTGGGGGCACACAGCACACTAGGAGGCTTCCGAGCGGATCTGCTACTGCCCCCCACAATGCTGCTACTCCCCTCATGGGGCCTCTGCTGGCCCCTGGGTTCGCTGTCCCTCCTGCCCCTTCCTCACCCTACTCTCCCAAAACTGTCCTTTGATTTATAGGTCAGTTTCCTGGAACGTGAAATTCCTCCCAAGTGCCAACCAGGTGGCAGCCAGACTTAAACGGCTCTCCCTTGGTTTACTTGGGTCTCTCATGGTCCAAACCATGGGCATTTTACCCCAGAGCCTGCCATGCTCTCTCTTTGTGCAGCTTCTGGGGAAATTGATGTGTTTGGGGCAGCCAAGCAGAGAGGCGGAGATCTACCACCCTGTGAGGTTCCACAAGCTCTGTCCCCAGCCTTAGGACAATTCAGACAGAGACATTTTCCTTTCTCCAAGGATCATGCAAAAAATAAATCCAAAAACTGCAAGAAGGAATGTTCAATGTCCCCCTTTATGTGATAAATGGCCTGTCCACCTCATTTCTGCTTCTCAAAGCAGAGGCGGGGAATTCCGACAGGCATTCCTCCCCAGGCAGCCTGGTGCCAGCGCTGCCCATGGAGACCAGCAGAGGATGCCCACCAGCCCCTTCCAGTCTTTCTGGATGCCACTGACCCACCCTGGGTATGCCCAGGCAAGGTGGACAGGAGGGGCCCTGCTGCTCGGCAGGTTTGCCTGGCCAAGCACAGGGCAAAGGAAGGCCGGTGCTTGAGCTCAAGGCTTGTTGGATGAATGTAGTCTTGGCAAACTTAAGGAGAACTGAGTCCAAATGCTGCCCGTTCACCCCTGAGCGTCCCAGCCATGGGAGCTCCCAAGGGCATCAGACAGGTTTGGGTGAAGGCGACCTCATCTCAGGAGCTGCAGGCCCCCGGGTGCTGCCCCTGACAGGACAAGAAAAGCCACACCTGTGCTGGCTCCACGCGGCCAGTCTGCCCCCGCCCAGATGACCCAGCCACTGGCTCCACAAACACTGGTGTCTAGTGGCCTCACTAGTGGGCATCACCCGGGACCCAAAGCAACTGTGGGCAAGAAGGGGCTTGGCCCCAAAGTCTGGGCAGGCAAAGTGCCCCTGCCAAGGCCTCAGGGGCAAGTGGGAGAAGCCAAGTGGAGCCCAGCCGCGGAGTAGAAGTCATTTAGACCTTAACTTCTCGCTCTGCGTCCAGTGTCCCTCCGACCTGCTCCTGCAGCAAGGCGTATGCTCGCTGCAGCGCCTGGTACTCCATGGTCAGCTGCCGGAACCTCAGCTCCGTCTCCTCCTTGGCCAGGCCCTGGAGAGGAGCAAGGGCAACACAAGCCCCCAGAGACACACATTAGCCCCAGCCCCCAGCCCCACCCCCAGCCAGGCACCTGCTCCTCCAGTGGGGAAGAAGGGAGGGCCGACTCTGGGGACCTAGACCTGTTTGGAGGAAGGTTTTCCTGGGAGGTGACCCCCGATGTCTGGGTAGACAGCGAGGCTGGCAGGGCTGAGCCAGGTGAGCCTCAGGGGTTGTCCAGGGGCTCTGCCTGGTCTCCTACTTGCCAGCCAGTCTGCACTGACCCAGCAGACCCTCCATTATTGACCAGGACTGCACATGGCCCTGCTCTGCAGACATGTCCTGGGAACTGTGCTGTGCTTTGTGAGAGGGCCCCAGGGCCCCAGGTCACATGTCCCTCTCAGGCTGCCCACCCCAGGTCCGCCACCCAGGTCAGCCCACTCTGACCTGCCTGTCACCTAGGCTTACTCCTGACGTCACCTCCCAGGATGTGTCCTAGCTGCAGTGATACCTGCTGCCCCACAAAGAAGGCAGGAGTGGGTCCTCCCTCCTTCCCTCCTTCCCTCCCTTCCTTCCTTTCCTCTCTCCCTCCTTCCTCCCTCCCTCCTATCCTCCTTCCCTCCTTCCCTCCTTTCTTTCTTTCCTCTTCCCTTCCCTCTCCTTCCTCCCTTCCTCCCTCCTTCCCTCCCTCCCTCCT